CGCATTGAAGCTCCTCTCTTCTTTGCTCCATCCTCTCCACGATGGCCCCAAGAAGCGCCCAGGAGGCACCCAGAGGCCCCAAGATGGCCCCAAGAGGCCCCCAGGAGGCCCCCACGAGGCCTCCAAGGGGCTCCCAAGATGCCCCCAAGAGGTCTCCAAGCGGCCCCACGAGGCGCCAAAGACGCCCCACAAGGCCTCTAAGAGGCTCCCACAAGACATCTACTACTACTTCCACTCCTACGACTACCACTACTACTACTACTACTACTACTACTACTACTACTACTACTACTACTACTACTACTACTACTACTACTACTACTACTACTACTACCTACTACTACTACTACTACTACTACTACTACTACTACTACTACTACTACTACTACTACTACTACTCTACTACTACTACTACTAACTACTACTACTACTACTACTACTAACTGCTACTGCTAACTACTACTACTACTACTACTACTACTACTACTACTACTACTACTACTACTAGTACTACGACTACGAACTACTACTACTACTACTACTACTACTACGACTACTACTACTACTACTACTACTACTACTACTACTACTACTACTACTACTACTACTACTACTACTACTACTACTACTACTACTACTACTACTACTACTACTACTACTACTACTACTACTACTACTACTACTACTACTACTACTACTACTACTACTACTACTACTACTACTACTACTACTACTACTACTACTACTACTACGACTACTACGACTACTACTACTATTACTACTCATACTCGTATCACTACATCATCTCCTACTACTATAACTATAGCTACTGTGACGACTACTACGAGTCCCACCAGCCCTTCGGGCGTGAGTGGTTTAGCGAGCTCTCTCTGTTCTCCACCCCCCAAGCCCCCTTCTTCCCCTTCGGGGAGGGGTTTACCCCTTCCCCTACCCCCGGCCCCTGGGCCTGGAGAGGGCGCCTCGCGGGTCGTCAGGGGGGTCATTTTCGACTCCTGGGAGGGCTAAAAAAAAAAAAACGACACCCCTCACGAGGATTCTGGCCCCGACGGGGGGAGGCAGAAAAACCCTCTCCTCTTCTCAGCCAAACTCATTGATTTTACTACGGTTTTGGCCACATGTTGGCCTTCTCATGGGGGCAGCGCTCATTAAAGCTCCTCTCTTCCTTCAAGGCAAAATCATTGATTTTACGAAGGTTTTGGCCTCATGTTGCCCTTCTGAAGGGGGCAGCGCTGATTAAAGCCCCCCTCTTCATTGATCGACTTCCTCCACGATGGCCCCAAGAAGCGCCCAGGAGGCACCCAGAGGCCCCAAGATGGCCCCAAGAGGCCCCCAGGAGGCCCCCAAGAGGCCTCCAAGAGGCCCCCAAGATGCCCCCAAGAGGCCCCCAAGAGGCCCCAAGAGGCCCCCCCCGAGGCACCCCAGACGCTCCTGGAAGCCCCTGGGGCCGCCAAGAGGCCCCCAAGACGCCCCAAACGGCCTCCAAGAGGCTCCCAAGAGGCCCGAAGAGGCTCCCCCAAGGCACCCAAGACGCTCCTAGAAGCCCCTGGGGCCGCCAAGAGGCCCCCAAGACGCCCCAAAAGGGGACGAGGTGCCCGAACGCCTCACGCCACGAGGAGCCCGAACGACTCACACCAGGACGAGGGGCCCGAACGACTCACACCACGAAGAGCCCGAACGACTCACACCAGAAGGAAGGGCCCGAACGACTCACACCAGGACGAGGCGCCCGAACGACTCACACCACGAGGAGCCCGAACGACTCACACCACGACGCGGGCCCCGAACGACTCACACCACGAGGAGCCCGAACGAGTCACACCAGGAGGAGGGGCCCGAACGACTCACACCAGGACGAGGGGCCCGAACAACTCACACCACGAGAAGCCCGAACGACTCACACCAGGACGAAGAGCCCGAACGACTCACACCACGAAGAGCCCGAACGACTCACACCAGGAAGAAGGGCCCGAACGACTCACACCAGGACGAGAAACCCCAAACGACTCAAACCACGAGGAGCGTTTTCTCTCCCTCCTCCTCCGCCTCGTCCTTCTCCCGCTCCCCCCAAAAGGCGGATGTACAAGGAGGCGGGAGGAAGGAGGAACAGGGGAGATATGCGGGGCCAGGCGGAAACACGCCTGAAAAACACGACTGTCGGCATGCTTCGCAAGAATTGCTGATTTGAGATGGGCTGGTGGTGATACGCGAAGCGTGAAGAATTCAAATTACTCCGACGGTAGGACCCCGCACGAGAATCTGTTTAGCGTACCCTTTGCCCTTTCCTCCTCCCCCTGGCGTACACCCTCTCCTCTCGCCCCCTGCACTGCCCTCTCTTCCCCCTTATGTTTCTCTTCCTCCTCCTCTTTCTCCTCCTCTTTCTCCTCCTCCTCCTCCTCCTCCTCCTCCTCCTCCTCCTCCTCCCTCCTCCTCCTCTTAGAAACTCCTCCTCCTCCTCCTCCTCCTCCTCCTCCTCCTCCTCCTCCTCCTCCTCCTCTCGCGCCACCTCCTCCTCGTCGTCGGCCTCCCCCATGCCCCTTCCCTCATCATCCCCCTGCGTTTTCTCAATGTGCACATCCCCTTCCCCCATCGTCGGGGCAAGCAAATCCATTTTCCTCAGCGCCGTCGCCGCCTCGGCCAGCGCGCGCGCGTCTGCCGACGGCTAGATCGCGAAGCCGTCGGGACAAACCTTCGGGCTGGGCCGCAGGCTCCCGCTCGAGACTTCCTCCATATTCAGGTCTCAAGAGCCCAAAAGTGACGACAGTTACACGTTGCGGATGACCCGCTCGGATTCGAACATGAAGTGCGGGCCCCATAGGGAGGGGGCTCCCGCCTTAGACTTCCTCGCAATTCACTCACAGACGAGCCTCCCACCGCGGAGACTTCCTCCCATATTCAGGGTCTCAGATCCTAAACCCAAAAGTGACTACATTTGCACGTGCGGAATGAAACCCACCTCGGATTCGACTAAGTGGCGGGCCCCAGGGGGCTCCGCGCCTGAAGACTTCCTCACAATTCCCTCACGAGACGAGGCTCCCGACTGATACTTTCTCCCATATTCGTCCTCGAGATCCCACAAAGATTACGACAGTGTACACGTTGCAGATACCGTATTCGACATGAATGCGGGCCCCATAAAGGAGTGGGGCTCCCTCCTGAGACTTCCTCACAATTCAACTCACAGACGAGCTCCCGCATGATAACTTCCTCCATATTCAGGTCTCAAGAGCCCAAAAGTGACGACAGTTTACACGTTGCGGATGACCCGCTCGGATTCGAACATGAAGCGCGGGCCCCATAGGGAGGGGGCTCCCGCCTGAGACTTCCTCACAATTCACTCACAGACGAGGCCCCCGCCTGAGACTTCCTCCATATTCAGGTCTCAAGAGCCCAAAAGTGACGACAGTTGCACGTTGCGGATGACCCGCTCGGATTCGAACATGAAGTGCGGGCCCCATAGGGAGGGGGCTCCCGCCTGAGACTTCCTCACAATTCACTCACAGACGAGACTTCCTCCATATTCCTCAAGAGAGTGACTACACTGCACGATGACTTCCTGATACTTCCTCTCATATTCAGTCAAGAGCCCAAAAGTGCGACGAACGTTGCGATGACCCGCTCGGATTCGAACATGAACATAGGGAGGGGCTCCCGCCTGAGACTTCCTCACAATTCACTCACAGACGAGGCTCCCGCCTGATACTTCCTCCATATTCAGGCCTCAAGAGCTCAAAAGTGACGACAGTTACACGTTTCGGATGACCCGCTCGGATTCGAATATGAAGTGCGGGCCCCATAGGGAGGGGGCCCCCGCCTGAGACTTCCTGGCAATTCACTTACAGACGAGGCTCCCGCTCGAGAGTTCCTCCATATTCAAGTCTCGAGAGCCCAAAAGTGACGACAGCTGCACGTTGCGGATGACCCGCTCGGATTCGAACATGAAGTGCGGGCCCCATAGGGAGGGGGCTCCCGCCTGAGACTTCCTCACAATTCACTCACAGACGAGGCTCCCGCCTGATACTTCCTCCATATTCAGGCCTCAAGTCAGCGAGTAGTGATGATGATGATGATGATGATGATGATGATGATGATGATGATGATGATCGTTCGATGCCGATGATGGTGAGTGATCGTGCGATGGTGATGGTGATGCTGATGGTGATGATGATGATGAGTGGGGAGTGATGGTGATGGTGATGATGATGCGGAGGAGGAAGCAAAGAGGAGCAGAGGAGAGGGAGGAGGAGGAGGAGGAGGAGGAGGAGAGATCCTGCGCGGAGGGTGTGCAGAGAAAACAAGAACCCCACTTAGGATGTGCGGAAATACCCCAAACATACGCAACAAATGTTCAAACATAGTCCAAGAATCGTCCCCATACAATTTTTCTACTATTTTTGAATAATCCTCCTGTAGAGGGACAGGCCCGACTTAACACAAGGAAAAGAAACCCAATGATGTTCCCACATGGTAAGCCGTTTCTTGCAATAGAAATAAGGACCCCATCAAAGCGGCCTCATCGAAAAATGATGAATCATGTGATGACGAAGCGATGATGAGTCCTTCGATGTCCTACTACCACGTGAACCTAATTACGATAAGCCACATATAGCGATGTGATGGACAATGAGATGAAGGAGCTGAGCCCTCTCAGAAACCCTGAAAGAAACATCGGGAGGCTCGTGAGAGGCTCCCAGCAGGGTTCCGAGAGGGTCCTGAAAAGGTCCTGAAAGGGTCCCGAGATCCGCCTGAGAGGCACCTGATAGGGGGCACCCGAGAGGCTTACGAGCGGCTCTTGGGAAGCTACTTGGAGGGTCCTGAGTACTGAAAGGCTCCTCAGATGCTCATGTCGGGGGGAACGACAGGAGGGGATAGCAAAGGGTAGGGTAGATAATCAGCTCACGTAGCTGATTTCCCCTCCCCCTTCCCTATCCCCCCCTTTCGTTCGGCCCGATCATGGTTTGGGGGCCGATGTGGCAGATGTTGTTCGACACCGCGGCGCAGGAGGCCCAGGCGCGTCTCGGCACCCCGCAGGGCGACCCCTCTGTGCGTGCCTGGGCGTCAGTGAAGACTCGCCGCCCGGCGAGGTGCACCACCACGCGAGGCTTGCGCTCCGTGCTGGTGATCAAGGGGGTCAGCTACGGCCGGGGCATTGTTGGAGGTCTGGGAATGGGCACCACCACCAGCACAGGGGGTTGCCTCCTCAGGGGGAAGATGATCCTAGATTTCGGTGTTGGTGGTAGTAGTTCGGTCACCTTGGAAGCCAGAATATTACCACCATCACCGAGATCGGGATCTTCTTCCCTCGGTGGAGGCACACCGCCGATTTCGGTGTTGGTGTCAACCTGTAGGCCTGCGACAATGGATTAGGGAGCTCCAAAGAAGGTGTAAACATCAACTGTCGAAGGTCCGCGTGGATTTCTTGGATCTGAGCTGCCAGCGCTCATCCAAGAGATCAGCGAGGATTTCCGACAGTTTCTGTTTATGCCGCTCTTCTCCTTCGAGCATTGGATTTGGAGGAGGAGGATGATCGGGTCGGGCAAAAGGGGGGATAGCAAAGGAGGGGTTTGAGAATCAGCTCACGTAGCTGACTTTCCCGGCGCCTCCCAGCGCCAGAGGCGACTATGTATCGAGGAATGGGCCCCTCGGTGGGGCCGAAACCAGCCGCATGCAGCAAATTTCGCAACCCCCCCTTTCCCAATCCCCCCCTTTCGTCCGGCCCGAGATGAGAGGAGCGAGGACGGAGCGACAATGCGCATAGCGGGGCCTGGTATCTATCTACGGGGGGCCTCGCGCTGCGGTCCAGGGCTCGACCCAAGCAGTGCTTTCCGTTTTCGTGCCGCTTTCGTTCGCCCTCGCTCCGTATTCGCTCCGCCCTCGCTGCGCAAGACCACCCAAAAAACGAAAACGCTCCGCGGAAGCGGCAGAGCATCGCTTGGGTCGAGCCCTGCTGCAGTCTCAGGCCTGGGTCACGTGCAGCGTGTACGCGCTGCCCGCGCGCATCCCCAGGTCCGACAGCCGGGAGTCCCAGGTGGACTCGTCGAGCTTCTTGATGCCCTGGACGCCAGGCCCCTTCACGGTCATGAAAAAGGCCCGGTCCTTGCTGGGGAGCATCTCGTAGACCCTCCCGTAGATGTCGAAGGACTGGATCCAGGGCTTGAAGGCCTCGGTGCGGGGCGGCGTCCCCGAGGGCGGCAGGTGGAACTCGATGGTGACCTCGTCGCGCCCACCGCTGGCCACGGCAGGCTTGGATGCCGTGGCGGCCACTGGGTAGCCGCCGCCTCCGCGCGCGCCGGCCTTGGCCGCTCTGATGGCGTCTTGCCGCTCCCGCCGCTCCTTCTCCTGCACCTCCTGGCTGTCTGCCCACCGCATGTGCTCGGAGCAGACCTGCTCCCAGAGATGCGACGTCCTGGTTCGTCCAGGACGGCGTCCCTGGAAGTCCCGACCCTTTCCCCGGGACCGGTTTTTCGTCCTGGATCGCTTTTTGACGGTCCCGAGGCCCGGCGAGGGCCCCCCGGGGCCGAAAATAGCCCAAAACCTCTCGTCCTGACTTTTCTAACGACGCGGCCATGTCTGGGTTAGCATGACGGACACGGGCCCTGTGGGAAGCGGGCCCGGGCCTGCCCCCCGCACCAGCTCTCCGTCCTGGGAGTCGTTCCCTGCCGGCCCCCGGGCCCGCCGAGGGCCCCGGGAGGGCCCGAGCACGGCGGAAGCCCTCAGGTGGTGGGCCCATTTTCCACCATCGCTACCATACGTGGGAGGAGGAGGAGGAGGAGGAGGAGGAGGAGGAGGAGGAGGAGGCCACCCACACATCCACACACACACTCCGACACAACACCACAAAGACCGACGACGGAGTGCGAGAAAGGTGACGAGACACCACAGCCGCACGACTGCACCAACCCGACCACACAGAACAGCGCAAAGAGCTGGAGACCACACAGGACGATAGGACGCAACGAGGACAAGACACACGGGAGCCCGAGGGAAAGGTGGTCGGGAGCAGGGACCACACACCTCGAGCCCCGCACCAGCATGGCTAAAAAGATGGACAGGATCAGGGTCCGCACCGCCAGAGCTGCACGAGGACCTGGGGAAAGGTGGCCAGGAGCAGGGGCCACACACCCAGGCACAAGAAGAGGGAGTCAAGGAGGTGGGGAGCTCTAGGGAAAGGTGGTCTGGAGCAGGGGCCACACACCTAGAGCCCAATTCGGGCAGAGGACGGAGGCAAGGTGGTCAGGCTGAAGGACCACACATTCTGTTCCAAGGCCAGGGGGCAGCCTGCCCCGACTCCTGGGCCCAGCGCGAGGCGCCGAAGAGAGAGCCCAGGCGTCTCCGAGAGGCCGGCCAGGCCGAAGCGGGCTCGAGGGAAAGGTGGTCAGGAGCAGGGACCACAGACCTCGAGCCCGGAAGGGAGCTGGGGAAAGGTGGGCAGGAGAGCCACTCCCCCACACCACGTTGGGCCTGGGGAAAGGTGGCCAGGAGCAGGGACCACACACCCAGGCCCAGCCGAAGAGGGGGCAGCCTGCCCCCACAGCGGCTGGGCTCGGCGCTCCGCGCCGAAGGGAGCCCAGCCGCCGCCGAGCGGCCAACCCGGCCCGCGGCCCACGAAGAGGCCGAAGGCCAGGCGGAGTGCCGCGCCGCGGGCGCTGCCTGACGCCCGCGGGCGAGGGCGCGCGCGGCGCCCGTCCACGGGCCCGTGCGGGCCTCCTTTGTTGAACCCGGCCTCTGTCCCCTTCTCCTCCGAGGTATTAACTGGTCCCCGGTCCTCCTTCTTTTCCTCGGGGTCGGGTTCCCGGGGCCGCCGTCTGAGTGCCCGCACGGCCCTCGTGGGCTGCTGTGGCGCGCTCCGCGCTCCGGGCGCACGCGAGACGCTGCTCGGAGCGAGAAACGCAGAAACGCAGGAGGAGGAGGAGGAGGAGGAGGAGGAGGAGGAGAGGAGGAGGAGGAGGAGGAGGAGGAGGAGGAGGATCTAGTAGTGGTGGTGGAAAATCTGCCCACCATCAGGACCCCGTTCCTAGAAGAGGAAAAAACGGCATGAACATAAAATTTTGGCGCTCCGCGCGGATTTCTTGGATCTACGCTTCACCCTCCTCTCTGGCGCGCGGAGCGCGCCAGGGGCGGCGCCGGAGGCGCCGCCGGGGAGGCCCAGCGCGGATCCAAGAAACCCGCGCGGAGCGCCAAAAGTCTATGCTTATGGCGTCGTTTCTTTGTCGAGTTCCTTCACGCGGCGAACCTGGTAGGCCAGGTCTATCGCCTCGCACCGGTAGGCATCCTCTTTGGACGCCCGAAATGGGTACGGAAAAAAATGAATACAATGCCCAACAACAATTGTTGCCCCAAACCAACAGCGGCCGCTGTTGGGCAGGCGGCCTTCTGTCTCGAATTGACACAGGCCGCGGCAGCGTGGACAGCGAGTCCTGTTCAAAATCAACAAGAACTGCTGTTGGGCATTGTACCCATTCTTTCCGTACCCATTTCGTTCGTGCCGATCCTCGGAGAAGTCTTCGAGCAGGTGGGCCGGCACCCGCGGCCCGCCGGGCCCGCCCGCGGAGCCGCGCACCGTGGGCAGGTCGAGGTAGGCGGCCCACTCCGCGGCCTGGCGGCTCATGCTGCTGGCCCGCGGCGGCGCGCTGGGCTCCGGCTCCGAGCACGGCTTGGGCCCAAAGCTCCTCCTCCTCCTCCGCCTCCTCCCCTCCTCCTCCTCGTCCTCCTCCGCCCTGCATCTCCTCCGCCTCCTCCTCCTCCTCCTCCTCCTCTCCTCCTCCTCCTCCTCCTCCTCATCCACAATTACTCAATATGAATATACTCTCCCTCTTCCCCTGATGGCGTCCGGGTGATAGCCGCGCACCCTCCGCGTACTGTTTTTTTACACACAGGATGCCCGGAAAATCCCGGGAAACGACTCTCGCTGAGGCGCCGGCGCCATTTTTTCCCAAAATGCTGCTCTCGCGCCGGCGCAATTTTTTCCCAAAATGCTGCTCTCGTTGAGGCGCCGGCCTCATTTCTGCTCCCGAATCCTTCCCCTGATGGCGTCCGCGTGATAGCCGCGCACCCCCCGCGTACTGTTTTTTTACACACAGGATGCCCGGAAAATCCCGGGAAACGACTCTCGCTGAGGCGCCGGCGTCACTTTTTCCCAAAATGCTGCTCTCGTTGAGGCGCCGGCCTCATTTCTGCTCCCGAATCGTTCCGAATCGTGCTCCCGCTGCAGCGTGGGCCTCATTTTCGGATCGGTGTTTGGCCTCCGTCGTTCAGGATTGCGTTCTCGCCCCAGCGCGGGCCT